CACAATTCGAACAATAGCTAAGCCTTTTGAGTCTCGGAGCCAATTGCAATAACAACTTAGTCGTTCAAAATTATCTTGTGATTCATTCATATTCCTCATTTTGCTCTATCAATTATACTCTTTTAACATAAAAATTTTTTTCTTAAAAGACAAGTTAGTCTATAAATTAAAATTATGTGCCCTGCGCGCAACAACTGATGTAAAATTGTATTTATATCCACGGAAGATGAATTAACTTTTAATCTTTGCCTTTTATTTTATGTATGACTGATAAACATATACAAGTATGTGTGTACAGTAATGTACATTTCTAGTAGTACATATCATATCTATTATTTCACAGAATTATTTATCAGATATTTTGCAGTAATAAATTGCGTAAGTCGGCCCTAAAATTTTCCGCTTACGGAAAAATTCAGTAGCCGTTCCGCAGCTGCCAGCCAGCAGTACGTTCATCGGCATCATTGTATGCGCGCGGGAATACGAATTCTAAATTCCCGTCATAGCCGCCCTACATAGACCTGATTGATTCTCGTTCTAGTTTTCCCGATAGAACTGTCTCATACCCAAACAATTCGGTTGGGGGGTGCTTTACAACCAAGAGATAAAGTATAGAAAAAAAGAAACGCGCATCACATATGCGGTGGACACATCACGTACCGCACAACGCAGTTCTGACAGACAGGCACGACTCACGAAATGATGGGCAAGCAAATAGAGTAAGTTTTCAATTAGATTAACTATAATTATATTATACAGTTATTTGATCAATTAAGGTGAATGAGAATTAACTGTTAAGTATCATATCATCCAAGACAAGAACGTTAAAAAATTTGAAAAGACCGTAAAATTTTGAATTATTTTGAAACATTTTGGTGCAATTTTTACATTCCGAAGAACATAATATTCAGTCTCGGTAGAAAATCCGTTTCGCTAAAATATATTAAATTTTTTCAGTATCTTCTTACTTTTTTTTGAAAAGGTTTTTCTCAAAGTTTTCTCAAAAAACGTCTGCATTGATTACAAAAAACTTGATAAAACTCAATAAATATATTGTTGATTTTTTTATGATTGGCCGAGATATTTTTAAAATGGACAGTTTATTAAAGAAACTCTTGGTAATTGTGAAATAATATTTTTTAATACTGCATCAAAATTTATAATGATTTCAATTTCTATTGGCTAAATCGATCATTTCCTTGAATGGGAACCTTGATGCAACTCAGTTAAACCACATAGAGTAATTAATAAAGTATACTTTATATAATGTAATATTTTTTTTGCACAATCCGCCTCTGCTGCATATATCCCAATCAAAATTCAATATTTATATCTACATATATGTAAACATGTGACATTCAGGAATATAATTCGTGTCACTATTTCGGTTTGTCTTTGACAGGACCTTTTCCATCGGTACATGATATTTTTTCAAATTAGGATTTAGATGAAAAGATCTGGAACTAAGATCAAAGATTGTTATATAAATATGTATTAATTTCCGGCATAAAATAATATAAAAAAGACACCAAATTTGATATAACTTGTCCACCAAATACGTTGCATCTCATCATTAATCAAAATTGTCGAATATTTATAAGAATTATATAAACTAAATTGTAAAGTTGAAATTATTTGTTTAAAGTATATCAGAACCATAGTCAGAATTAAAAATAAATCTGAATTATTTTCGATATACAAAAAAAATATTTCCTTTAAAAAAAAAATTCAAAAAATAAATTTTGAAACAATTTTTTTTTTCCAAAATCAATTATTTTGTTAAAACAAGCACCAAGTTGTCGAATCATTTAAATCGGACGCTTAATTCTCTCAAAAACTGCAATTTTTGCACATTTTGCTCTGTATCTTCAAAATGGCTGGGCCTGCCTTTGCCAAAAACTAATAACCAACATCTCCCAATCATTACTAATTGAATATTCTTTAGTAGATCATTCAAATCGGATGCTCGTTCTCTCAAAAACTCGATTTCTATTTTCTGCACTCTTTGCTCTTTATCTCCGTAACTGTTGGACCTATCTTTGCCAAAAACTATCAGCACATGTCCTATCAATAAGAATCGAATGTTTTTAAACCATTCAAATCGGTTGATTCGTGCGGCCGAAAACGTGGACGAAAAATTGTATCCATACATACATACACACACACATCAATTTTTTCTGAGGTATGCCAAATTGTTCAGAAACCTTCAAGTCGTCGAGAAATGCAAAAAATTTCAATTTCGATTTTTGAATGATTACAATAACTTACCTTACGGGAAGTTAAAAATATATAATATTCAATCAATTTGTACTGATATTTAGCTCAAGTCTGCTAATGTAATTTCTAAGGTATAATTATATGAGCTTTCATAAAGTTAACTGAAGTTCAAAAAATTTCTTATTTATTTTATTGATTTTTTGTTAACAGAACAAATACGTAAAAATCAGTTTTTATTTAAAAATCCGCCATCATATCATATCAATGAAATGATGGGATTATAAAGTTAGAAATGGACACACCTATAAATCCAGTTAGCACACAATTATGTCGACCGTCGGTACAAGATAATAAAACGCGTACGCGGGGTCCGAGCGGTGGTCAAGGGTCAACTGACCTATTCCACGGCGTCCCTTTTCATTTCTTAAGGGTTCTGCAAATCGCGAATGGCCTGTCGGGGAGAAATATACTTTGTTTACCTGACGATTATCATGCTAATGGA